TGTGTGTGTGTGTGTGTGTTTGTTCGTTCGTTCGTTGTGTTTATGGGTTAATATTGTTGACCTGCGTGTAGATATGAGTTTTGGGTTTAAGTTTAGGTTTAGGTTAGCCCTACGACAATGTCTTGGGATCGGAAGAAGCCAGGCAAAGATTCCTCCACTAACGATTTCGTTACTGCGGTCCTGTTGGTTACTAGACAGATTATGGTAACGAAGATACCATAGCCTCTATGTCATCGTAGGTTTTAGTCTTCAGCCTATCAGTCACAGATAGTTTACAGTCACGGAGTTTTAGAGGATAGATGTTTAGCTCTTTATTCAATAGGTTGTATAAGTGGGAAGATTGCCTTGCATACTGCCGCTTGGCAAAAACAGATCTGGGACAGTTGGAGCGACCAAGTAGCTTCTTCTGCTACTCATAATCGGTTTTTTGGGGTCTTACGGGAGGGATTTATGTTTACTCAGAATAAGGTGGAGTAGGTAGTTTTCTTACAGAGAGTAGGTTAGAGGTTAGGTAAAGGCTTTGGGTTGAAAATCTATAGGGTTTAAAAAGCATAACCTTAAGCAGAGACCGCCGCGCCCTCTCAAGTTCTAAAAATTAAATTTTTATTGTTCCACCCCAGCATGGCAGACAGTATGTAAGGATAGATTGGGCTAATGATACATAGACTTTCTGCAAAAGGTTCTTTGAGGCAACGTGTCGTTATGTTTTAAAAAACCATATTAATTTCCTAACCCTATTCATGATCAGTTCAGTGTGCATATGCCAGGACAGGCGTTGGTCAATCATCATACCCAGGTATTTAGTATACTGTACCTGTCAATTTTTGTACAAGAACAGTCAGGAATTGGGGGGTTAGCACAGGAGTGGATCTTTATTTGGAATCCGGGTAGTGGTTGAGTGTGTGTATACTTGGTGAAGCATTCGTAATTGGACTTGAGGCATTTAGTGTGAGGAGGTTACGCTTGAGCCAAACTGCAATCTTATACAGGCCGATTTTAACTGACCTTTTAACTTTTGTCCAAGTGTTATCAGCAAAAACTATGGCAGTATCATCCGCGTATGAGAAAATGTGACCGCTGTCAATAGTCATATTGCATAGGTTATTAATATATATAAGAAACAATGTCGGACCAAGGACACTTCCCTGCCCGACACCGTATGAAATTGTTTCTTGTGAGCTAGTAAACTCCCCTATTTTGACTGTTTGTTTGCGATTGCTTAGGTAGGATTTGAACAGATCGAGAGGAGTTCCCCTTATGCCTATGTTTTCTAGAAGTATGGGGACAGATACTGTGTCAAAGGCCTTTTTGAGGTTGAGGAAAACCGCCAGACATTTGCTACCTTTATCCACTTTGTCAACTATAGTAGATGTTAGAGACAGGACCGCATGCTCAGTAAACCTTCCCTGCCTAAACCCAAACTGAGAAGGTGACAGAATGTTATACTTAGAAAGGTATTTAGTTAAACGTGAATTTAAGAGTCTTTCCAGGATTTTTGAGATGGATGTCAGAACTAAAATTGGCCTATAGTTTGACGGGTCTGACCTGTCTCCACACTTGTACACAGGCGTTATTAGGGCTACTTTCAAAGCATCCGGGAAAAGTCCCTGCTCAAAGCAAAGGTTTTTAAAATAAGTTAAGATTGGCACAATTTGTTCGTGTGCAGCTTTAAGGAATTTAACTGGAATATGGTCCCAACCTGGAGTACTATCTGGTTTTAAGCTCATTAGTGTAGCATGAACTTCACAAAAGTCTGTGTCGAGCAGGACAAAAGAAGAGGCCGACGTATAGGCAGATAAAGATGAGTCAGGATCGTTATTAGCTACTGTAGAATACGGAGGTGGTGAGATATTGTCCGCACGAATCTTTCCTATGTTAGAGAAAAAGTTATTCACTTTGTTAATAGAGTTTTGGGGAGTATTAGATACCTCTAGGAGTTCCAAGTTGTTTGTTTTTTTAGGTTCTTTTAGGTTTATGTTTATGTTTCATTAACTTTAGGTTTATGTTTCATTAAATCAGCAAACACACCAGATTTGATTCGATACTAGTATTAAAAATAATAGCAAGACGAGGTGCAATCAAATCTATTATGGACGCAATAACTGTAACGGAAATCCCCCATAAATCTGCGGTTTTTTTACATCGAGGGTTTTGAAATATTTTAAAAATATCTTGTGGTAATACTTTTTCAAATTTTAACTCTTTTAAACAGGTATTAACATTCTGTTTATTCAATGACTTTGTTGTCAACATACGTATATCGGTGAAATATTTCTCAAACAACGCTGCGACTTCTTGATTTGATCTAGTTATGAACAGCCTAGATCATTTAACAACCATCGTCCTATATATCGATATATATTATATTATACAGGGTTATTTTGCAATAACCGACCAAATTTGCAGAGAAGGTTCAGAATAAGTAATATAGGCGAATGATGAAGAAAAATTAATGTATAAAATTTTCAAATATACTGTCCTTTTTATGTTTTAAATTAAAATTAAAATTATTTTAACTGATTGTAGTTCATATATATCTAACGCCTACTATTTTACTACGCACGAACACATTCGTAAGGGTTAATCGGTTGGCAAAAACGTTTTCATCCAAAGCCTAGCGACACTATAACATATATAGGAATGACGTCTTAGCAAAAGTTGTTTAGTCTGATGGGCATTTCTTGGTGACTTACAAAAATGAAAGATCTAGAACGTCTCGAATCGTCTCGCGAATCACGTTGTTTTCCCGTCCCCGGGCTCTTAGAATTCAACATCAGACGTTTCAGATCTTCGATTTTGACGACCCCGTTGTCGCTGGCATAAGCAACAGGATCCGCGTACGAAGTCGCGGGCAGAAGCTAGTTTCAAATAAAAGTAGAAGCCTTATTTACTCGTATTTTCAAAAATTGGAATAACGGTATATAATTGAACTCATATTTGAACTCAAGTTTAAAATTTGACTACTCTTTGAAAAATAAACCTGTATGTATAGATTTTTGATCCTTGTTACATCGTGTATTAATGGATTCCCTTACGCTGCCACCACATAGACTGCCACATTTTGATATTTTTCTTATCTTCACTACATAATCTAGCGAGTAAAATACTGCCTCGCTGGGCTAGTAGTTATAAGCGCGACTGCGGGTTATAAGGTCCAGGGTCCGAATACCAGGTCGGAACAATAAATGAGTTATTGAGTTGGCTTGCAGAAAGACTTATGTACTATAATTCTATCCTGCGCAGGTCTCAAAGGAGACTAGCTGCCACTTCAGCCTATCAAAGGCCATAACTGAACATAGGCCTCTCACATAGATCGCCTCATGGTGGGGATATTTGAGACTGGCCGTCATGACTGAAATTTGGTTGGAAGGACATTACATAATCTAGTAGCTCTTCATTCGCTAATAATGCTAAACTCTAAATGAAAGTTTTTTTGTTCTTGTCGCTATTTTAGCATTTTCGTCATTAATATCTTTAAAATATTTATCATATCATTGAACGATCAGGACTGTTTTATTGGCATTTCTTGATGGAGCCCTATATTCAGCAATGGACTTGTGAAGGGCTTTATTGATGATGATGATGATGATCATATAACGATATATACCAATTTACTCAGTAATAAAAAAATATAAAGTGGTTATTATATTTCTGTATAAAATGGCAGTTACGTAAGTAAGGGCCTAATATTTCGCGAGGCTTGTTTTTATCAAGTAACGTGTTATGTACTATGACAGCTTTCCGCTCGATAGACTGGAAACTTACAGTTTCGGCAATCCGAAGGCTGTAATTAATCTCGTTGGAGTAAGTGCACATCATTTATTTTTATGTTTAGTGGTCTGTGTTTTCCTTTTAGATTATTTTAACATTAGGAGCACTCAAAGACAATTTTGTTTAATACAACGTAACAAAAACCCTGTGGTTCAGTGCGTTATCAGAATCAATATTCAAACGTTTCGAAATTTAGAAAAAGCGACCATAAAAAATTAAATTAATTAAAAAAAATTAATTTAATGATGTTAAAAAAATATTAACTAAGATACGCGGTGGCTACGTAGTCTACTTCATCTGACTGGACTGCTGCATTTAGGATTTGTGAGAATTTATCTTAATAGCAACGCTTGTCTCGTACCTTTGACATTGCTCTCTTTCGTCGTTCTGTATATAAAATCCGGCGTAAATAGATGGTTATTTCACCTTATATCAGAAACTATAAGGTCTTGGAGTTTCGACACCTACGAAATGCAGTAATCGATTTTCTTACTACACCAACACGCGGAAAAGTTCTAAAAGTATTCATGCAATATTCTAAATTCAAAAACAATTCAATTTTAATAAATTTTAATCAGTACACGTACAATAATCGATATAGAAAATACCGGATTGCGGTTATGAAAAACATGATAAAACATCTTTTTGTAATATATGTATATTACAACGCGTATAAATAAATTACATTATGAATATTTGTAACATTAAACTTATAATATCAATGGTATAACAGATTCAATCAATGTATCACATGGTTAATACATTGCCGTATAAATTCGAGCAATTATAAACTAAGTTTACGTATGAAATATTTGTAAATTAATACCAAAAACGACTATCCTAACGATTCCATGCTTATAAAATAATAATTTTAGTTGTACTATTTAATAAAATTTATGTGTATAATAAACACAGAATTTTTCGACTCGGCTCGACTCGACTCGACTTCATTTTACGTTAGATACAATTTGATTTCAACTTACTATCGCTAACTTAATACAAACATTACTAAGCCATTTCTTCAAGTAAGGTAACGATTGCATCTAATCTATTCCGAACTAAAGATTAATCTAATTTTAGACCAAAAACTTTAGAACCTTGACAACAATTTCCTAACAATGGCACTTTCTGACTAACGTGGACTAAATATCACTAAAAACCTGTAAAGCTGTCAGCTTTAGGCAAGAAATCTTTTAGAAACATTTACTTTAATAAGCAACTTAGTAAAACTAGAGCTCTTGATACGGTTCTTCGGCATCGGCCAGCTTAACAAGGCCTATGAAGCTCTTCTCAGGTTGCATGAGCGAGTGCCTGTCTCCGCCGGTGTTTCTTACGGCGAGCCTGTCGCCGGCACGGAGGAACAAGGCGGCGGCGGAGAAACAGGAGTTGGGTTTCTCTAGAGGCTCGACAGAGTGCGAGGATTGCGCACACTGCAGCAGAGTATCGCGGCCTTCTGAGTCCGCATTAGTTCGGTGCAACACCCAAGATATTATATCATGGCTGTCCAGGTAGTAAATCTGAGGGCAAAAATTGTTGGATTTATATTATGAAGCGTCCAAATAACAGGTTTTATCACAAATACCAATTACAATTAGTGGTAAGCAGTGACGTAGTTATGTAACCAAGGGTCCCGGGACAAAACTGAAATTGGGGCGCTATTTAAACTAAACTAAATGCTTTAAAGGTGCAAAACTGTAAGTAAATCTTAGGGCAAAAATTGTTACAGAGCTAAACATCGCGGCACACCGGGATCACTTTCCGAAGTTCCTCACAACATCAAAGTATTGTTGAACTTGTTCGGGGTGGTTTGGCTCGAATAATCATAATATTTCTGCCCACACGCAAAATACGCGCTTAGACGTGGAGTTGTGGAAAATAGCCCGTCGTAATATAATCCAATAGCGTAAGGCAACCTGCATGTCTGAGAAATTTAAAAAATAATCCGAAGATGTGTGAAGTCCGCCAGCGTGGTGGACACTTCCTTGCTCCTAAAAGCCTCTTAGAAAAGAGCATGGCATGTCATCCCTCTCAGAAATGTTTTCAAATATTTTTACCATTACAATTCAGTCTATTCAATCTACGCTTGGCAAGCGTGTTGCAACCACAGTTTTTTTATTTTTATTCAGCTATCAGGAAGACGCTGCTCCACATTATACCATCTGGTGCAGAACTGTCTGTTGCTTCTGACTACACCTACGGGATGATATGGGGTAGAGAATATTCTTATACCGCCACAACACGGTTATTTACAGGTAAGTTCCGATTTTTGTCACCCTTATCCTATAAAAAAAAACATAGTTATGAATAAAAGTTACATATGTTGTCTTATGATTAATGCAAGTATATTGACCATTTTACACCATATTATAAATATTAACATCGGCAACGGGAAGCACTCCGTCTGCTAAATGTTGCGATTAACCCAACGTGGTGACTTTTACAGGCTGATAAAGGTGATGAAGAATTTAGTTTAGACAAGACACTATTGTTAACAAGATCATTATTTTAATACCTATAAAAATAGGGCAAATGCGAATTTAGTGTGAACGTAGTAGTGTAGCGGACGTTATTTCTAAATCGCTCCGTCGTCTCTAACTCCATTTAAACTTTACCGGGTTGAACAAGTTTTGAAGAGGTTTGCAATTACTCGTCGCAATAAATTGAAGGCTGAAAGCTAAGACAACAAAGTTAGAAATAAAAAGTACGAACCATCTTTAAAAATAAAAAAATAAATCAACAATTTCCACATAATAGTTTCTAATGTCGGTGCTAGGACATTTTATTTATATTTTATTTTTTGAGTCAGAAAACCTGCATGTATGAGATATTAAAAAAATATTTCTTTGGAGATATCTGCAGTCCGCCATCATGCATTGGGGCAGCGCGGCGGACAATTCCTTGCCTTTCATCCCTCTCAGAAAAAGAGTAGATCTGTTCCTAATAGTAAGACGTATAAAACCTTACTATACTACTAATATACTTTTTTAATTTACTTTTTTTTATTAAAGTCGGTTTGTACTTTTTATTAAAGGTTAAATTATTTTACTTATTTGAATGGCCTGTACACTAAAATATTCATATGTTATTTTGCTACCTTTCGGATGGGATTGTTTCTTCAATGGAAGCTCCCTTGAAGTACAGCCCATTTAATAAAACAAAGAATTATTTAAATGGGTTTAGCCATTTCCGACAAATTCGGTGTACACACAAAAAAACATAAGCGACGTCGTTCCTTCTCGCTTTTCAAATCGTTTCAATCGCAACTGAGATTATTAGGTATATAGGTATGTATGTCGCAGGTTTATGGTCAAATCCGGTTTTTGATCAAAAACCTAGGCTTTTGATCAAGAACTGAAAAATAACGAAGTTATTACTTAATCTTATCATTTACCTGAAAGAAATCCCGTTTTTTTTTACCAAAAATCGGAACTTACCTGTAAATAACCGTGTTGTGGCGGTATAAGAATATTCTCTACCCCATATCATCCCGTAGGTGTAGTCAGAAGCAACAGACAGTTCTGCACCAGATGGTATAATGTGGAGCAGCGTCTTCCTGATAGCTGAATAAAAATAAAAAAACTGTGGTTGCAACACGCTTGGCAAGCGTGTTGCAACGCCACAACACGGTTATTTACAGGTAAGTTCCGATTTTTGGTAAAAAAAAACGGGATTTCTTTCAGGTAAATGATAAGATTAAGTAATAACTTCGTTATTTTTCAGTTCTTGATCAAAAGCCTAGGTTTTTGATCAAAAACCGGATTTGACCATAAACCTGCGACATACATACCTATATACCTAATAATCTCAGTTGCGATTGAAACGATTTGAAAAGCGAGAAGGAACGACGTCGCTTATGTTTTTTTGTGTGTACACCGAATTTGTCGGAAATGGCTAAACCCATTTAAATAATTCTTTGTTTTATTAAATGGGCTGTACTTCAAGGGAGCTTCCATTGAAGAAACAATCCCATCCGAAAGGTAGCAAAATAACATATGAATATTTTAGTGTACAGGCCATTCAAATAAGTAAAATAATTTAACCTTTAATAAAAAGTACAAACCGACTTTAATAAAAAAAAGTAAATTAAAAAAGTATATTAGTAGTATAGTAAGGTTTTATACGTCTTACTATTAGGAACAGATCTACTCTTTTTCTGAGAGGGATGAAAGGCAAGGAATTGTCCGCCGCGCTGCCCCAATGCATGATGGCGGACTGCAGATATCTCCAAAGAAATATTTTTTTAATATCTCATACATGCAGGTTTTCTGACTCAAAAAATAAAATATAAATAAAATGTCCTAGCACCGACATTAGAAACTATTATGTGGAAATTGTTGATTTATTTTTTTATTTTTAAAGATGGTTCGTACTTTTTATTTCTAACTTTGTTGTCTTAGCTTTCAGCCTTCAATTTATTGCGACGAGTAATTGCAAACCTCTTCAAAACTTGTTCAACCCGGTAAAGTTTAAATGGAGTTAGAGACGACGGAGCGATTTAGAAATAACGTCCGCTACACTACTACGTTCACACTAAATTCGCATTTGCCCTATTTTTATAGGTATTAAAATAATGATCTTGTTAACAATAGTGTCTTGTCTAAACTAAATTCTTCATCACCTTTATCAGCCTGTAAAAGTCACCACGTTGGGTTAATCGCAACATTTAGCAGACGGAGTGCTTCCCGTTGCCGATGTTAATATTTATAATATGGTGTAAAATGGTCAATATACTTGCATTAATCATAAGACAACATATGTAACTTTTATTCATAACTATGTTTTTTTTTATAGGATAAGGGTGACAAACGAGCACACAGTCCACCTGATGGTAAGTGGTTGCTGTGGCCCATAGACATCTACATCTATCCTCTATTACAAATCAAAATGTAGATGCGTTGTCACCCGTGAGGACTAAGATGGAATGCCTCATTTCCAGTAAAAAGGGCCTCCGGCCACCTGCACTCACCAAGCGAAACGCAATGGTAAACCTCTACTTCACGCTGGTTTTCTGTGAGGTCGTGGTACCACCCCGGTTCGAGCCGGCCCATCCGTGCGACAGCAAAAGCTGCCGCGTGGCTCTACCACTGTTAGAATAACTATGTCAGGCAGTTTAAGTTTTTTACTGTTTTTTTTTTAAATGTAATAGGTCAGGCACTTTTGTATAATTTGTAGCCATCATTTTTTTTCGTTTCGTGAATCGCTCAATAATAATTTTTGGAGATTTTCGGTCGTCACTGAAAATCAGCGTTGTGGTTTCATTAAAAAACATGGTGAGTGATGTCGTTTTTTGGCAAGCCTTTGGCGTACAATGTCAGATTTATCAAATCAACGTGTAATTAAGTTAGTTAAGTTATAAATTTTTATATTGTTGTGTGCGGCAATGGTATGTGTCTAAACAAAGTGTTTTTCTTTCTTTTTTTTTCAAGTCATGTTCTTTATGAAATTTTCCACTTTTTTTACGTGGTAGAGCCATGCTACAGCTATGCCGTTGTTGTAGCACTAATGAGTAGGCACGACCCGGAAAAGACCACGCTCTCACAGAATACCTGTTTAAAATAGCAGCTTAATGCTGCTGTGTTTCGTATGGTGAGTTTAGAGAACTGGAGACTTTTTTTTATAGAAATGAGGTATTCCATATTTTTCCTTCCGCGTCTACATTTTGAATTTCAATCTAGGATAGATTTAGATGTCTATGGGCCTCAGTGCGCGACCATTCGGATATTCAGCTACACGCATCCAGTTCCTGCGAGCCCCTTTGCGCAGATTGTCGCTGCATTTAGCCGGGGGAAATCCCACATTGCGTTAACCTAAGCACGCTCTTCATTCATGACATATCTCCTCCGACGATTGTCACTTGTGCGTCCATGTGACCAGCCCATTACCAGTCAGTTTGCAAACAAAGAAGGCTATGGCGGTGACCTTGGTTCTTGAGCGGATTTATTCATACAAGTTTGTCAAAAAAATAACCTGTTCCTGATAAAATGTGAGGGTTGAAAAAATCATTCAAAGTTGATTGAGGTAAAATAGTACATTCTGTGCATATGAGAAAAAAGAAAATTGAACACTGACGCTGTATCCGAACATGATATGATTGGACGCCGTTGATAATTACGTGAGTTTAGTTGTTTTTTGGTCCACCTTGTTAGAGGCTCATATCCAGTGGACTGCTAATTGAGTAATAAAAAAACAAAAGAAGTTTACCTGGACGTAAACCAAGTAGACTCCGGTGTGGTGAACGTGCACGTGTCCGTTGCGGGTGAGTGTGGGTCGCGGGTGAGGCGAGGCGAGCGTCCATGGCGCCGGGTACCACACGTCGTGAGGTGCACCATGCGAAACACGCACTAAGCCATTGCCTGGGAACAATCAAGACATTTAAATAAAATGGAGTATAGGAGAAGTAGAGAAAATTACTTCTTTACTCCATATCGTCCCGTGGGTGACGTAAGAGAAAATGAAACAGGAGATGGGCAGCAACATCTACGTCATAACAACTCAAAATAATAAGAAACTGTGGTTGCCAACCGGCCTGCCAAGCGTGGCAACTATGGCAAAATTCAGGAAGCGATCTATTAGGGAAGGACAGATGTCATCAACAAATATTTTAGTTAGTTTCTGGAACTGAATGGAACCTGTTAGGTATATGTTTATAGCACAGATCAATGATTAATAGTTAAAAAATATTGATTCACATGTTATGCAAAACAATAATAAAATAACCGTCAAGATCGTAACGGGGACCACAGATTCAAAGGTAGGAATTGTAAATTGGCTAGAAATGCAAGTCATTGAACGGGACTGTCGTTTCTTAATAGAGCAATACGCTTTTACAACAAAGTCCCAGAAAATATACGAAGTTTTTTTTGAACAAAAACTATATTTTTTTAAAAGCGATTAACACATTTATACTCTATAATTATATATCTTTGTGTGTACCAGTGGCGGATTATGTTTAAGGCAAACTAGACACGTACTTAGACGCGCACGGGTAAAACGGGCGCGCGTGGGGGTTCTTAAACGAAAAAAAATCGTCTATTTGATTACTCTTTTATCGCCTTCACTCTCTAATCACATTTTTCATTCACGCCCACCTGTTAAAGGTACTCGTGTCCTAATTATTTTGCAAATATTAGGTTACAATTAAACTATATTATAAATAATAATAATATACACTCATGTACAAATTTAAAGGAATGCAAAAGTATGTATAAAAAATATTTTTTTTTATAGGATGAGGGTGACAAACGAGCACACAGTCCACCTGATGGCAATTGGTTGCTGCGGCCCATAGACATCTACATCTATCCTCTATTACAAATCAAAATGTAGATGCGTTGTCACCCGTGAGGACTAAGATGGAATGCCTCATTTCCAGTAAAAAGGGCCTCCGGCCACCTGCACTCACCAAGCGAAACGCAGAGGTAAACCTCTACTTCACGCTGGTTTTCTGTGAGGTCGTGGTACCACCCCGGTTCGAGGCGGCCTATCCGTACGACAGCAAAAGCTGCCGCGTGGCTCTACCACTGTTGAAAATCATGGATATTTGTGACACTTAAGTTTATAAAATTTGTTTTCCAAGTGTATCCCATACAGGATCTCTGGGGGTTTAAGTCGGGCGAGTGCGCTGGCCATCCCATAGCATTGATTTCAACGTATCGAAGGCATTCTACAACTATTACAGCAGTATGGAAACGAACATTATCATGCATAAAAACAAATCTATCTCCTTTATGAGGAACAAATGACACTTCGAATTCTTTCAAAATCTCAGTTACATATTATCGTGCCGCTGTTAGTGATCCATTCTTAATGACACGGAATTCCGTGCGTGCTCTCATACAAATACCTCCCCATACCTACTATAACTGCACCTCCTCTATATGCCTCTTTAAACGCCTGCATTAAAACTCTATATGCCTGCATTAAAACGTGGAGACGCTCATCCAGCTCATCCAGCTTCAGACAAAATATAGACTTTGAATAGAACTTGACTCCAAGCTTTATCATTCCAATTTTTGTAATTGTGAGCAATATTAACTCGAACTACCCGATGGAATGTCGCGAGAAGGGAGCCTCTGGCAGGCTGTATGAATTTATTCCGGCTGATTTCAGTTTTTTTCCCACAGTTTTTGTGTTTACTGTATGCAGTATACCCATCGAACTTGTCGTAGCTTCGTTTTTACCTCAGAAGAAGTTAAAGTCATGTTACTAAGCACGCTTGTAAGGATGAACCGTTCATCTCTGGCCACAGTATTCCGTTCAAGTGCCTGGCCAGTCTCGTATACTGTCCGGTCTGCCGATACCTCTTGACAACTCCGTGTACCACATATTTTGATACTCGTAATGTTAAGGTGTGTTTGTAGGTGTGCCCAATTTCAATGAAAGTAACAGCCCTAGGGCGTTGCTAGCAACTTAATCGGCGATTAAATCTGGCATTCTTAGTTTGTTTGCAGTAACAGTTCACACTTAACTTGATCAACAAGGCAGTCAAGGCAAACATTTAAATACCTAAACCTAAATAAACTCAAATTCAAAAGTTGGCAAAATTTTTCGCAGTATTAAATAACACAATATTACGCAATAATTACATAAAAACAATTGAAATTCGAAAAAAAAGCATTCCAAAAATTTTAATAGTATTTACTAATGTTCGTGACCAGTACACGCGGCAATTACAAACTTTCTTTTGCATTTCTCCAAATTTGTCCATGAGTGTAGTTTATTTCCAATATGAGTAGTTATAATTTCCAATGTATGGCCGCTAGAGGGGCGCCGATGATATGCTAGCCTAGGGCGCTGTTAATATTTAATCCGCCAAACAACAGCGCCACCTACCGGATTTAAATGTGAATCTAAACCATCTAGGGACCCATTCAAAGTTACACTCAAAATTGCATTAAAACCGGTCGAGCCGTTTTTGAGTTTTAGCTAGACTAACGGGCAGCAATTGATTTTTATTTTTTATATAGTAATTGTTGGTGCGTCCATTAGTGATCGTGTAACTTTTGAACTGATTGAGGTCTTATTCACACAATTTATTTGCTTCAACAAAAAGATGGTTATGCTAGCATCCAATAGGTCTGGCTATTAACTAATTCTATATTTGTCTATGGATCAAAAAACCCATATTTACAATTTATGTTGGTTTAGTGGCAAATAAGAAAATAACAAAAATTGGCCCCACTAGATAACGCTGTAGTCGAGTTGTTAATAAACTTTTTGTTTACACTGTAAAAAGTTCGGAGTAAACTGCGAGTGAAAATCGCGCCACCTACCGGAGAGAGCAGAGTAATGTCATAATAACAACAGAATATATTTGATATTTTTGAAGAATTTTTATGTACTTAATTTTGAAATTTAAAGTAGTATAGTCTTTAAGTAAAACTAATCTTACCTTTAAAGTTATCGTGAATCTCGGTGCTAAGATGAGATGTATTACCATGGAAATGCGCAGCAATGAAAGGTCTTCTGTATGGGTTATCCTAAAAAAATATTTTTGCTTTTTTCAATTATATTCCATACGATTCTATATATAACACTCTTGTTAACTGCTCCAAGTAAGCTAAAATGCTTGTGTTAGGAATGGTTTACGACAGTAGTCGAATGTTGCATTCTAACCCATAACTTTCAGAATTTGCGGTTCGTACCTATAACAATTTTGCTACTGTCGCTTCAAAATTTTTAATACAAAAATACGTAAGGATACTAATATAATGTTGCGTTAAATGAAAATAAAAAGAAAGTATAGTCTATTTTTAGAGTCTAATTCATCGTGATCATTAGAAGTGCACACTGAACATAAAACCCCCCGAAGTAATGTACGGTCCTGAGCCACCTGCATCCTTCGATTTCCTAGAAGTTTTACCAGGTCGGAATTCCATCTGTAGTGCGGCCATAGCCAACTACTTTATATTATACAAAACATTCACGCGGAAATAAATCCGCACCGCATCGCGTTTAATGTGCATCAAATCACAGTTTTTTTCCGCGAGAAACATTTTACCGTCAGTGCGGCTACTCATATAAGATTCAATGTGTTACAGAATTGCGAGAACAAAATCACGCGGTGAAATACTGTGGTACGGACAAGTCCTTATCCTGCACTGCGCTTGCGGTACAAGGCTGCTACTCTAGAAACTTTCTTCCCCATTGGTAGTCGCTTCGTGGAGCTATGGCTAGAGCTTACTGATCAGTTGTGCTATGTCGGTTACTCTGGTTCAGCTACGAATATTATCGTTACCGGTTCTATCACTCAAAGAAACTTCGAGCATAACCCATTCCATAGCTCGCAGAGCGACCTTGAGCTTCCTCATAAAACCAGCAGTTAAGTACTACGTCTCAGTTCAATATGGCCAAACAGACTGGTAATACGCTCTTGTTTAAAGGTTTTGAGGCATACGTCACTAGTAGACCTGTCGTACTTTCTCCAATGCTGCTCAGCCGATTTGGATCTGTCTATTGATCTTTTAGTGGAAGTTGGACTTACCTAGTCAAACAATTTGTCTTAGGCTAACATATTCATCAACAACAAAGAAAAGCGTGCGTATCTCCCAACGGATAGGTCCTAGAATGAGCATGCACAAGCCAAAGGTAATGTGTAACATCCATCTCAAACCTATTCCAGTAGTTATGGTGAACACTACTCTCGAAGTCTAATTATGTGTGTACAATTAATGTGCCTATTTACAACTATCGTTATTCTATACCTCGGTATCGCTATTCCTCGCTGTTCTTGTCACAGTATGCAGCGCAGTCTTTCCGCTTATCGAAGCATCAGTGCTTGAAGAGTACTTTTTCGTTTTGCGCCTGTAACATAAAATAGTAATTTATTCTCATTCTTCCATTATCTTTTGCCACGACCACACGTCGTATGTAACCATTGGGGGCGACTAATCTAGTCCAGTTCAATCCCCAGAAGCCACAAGTTTACGCGTTGTGCCCCTCTAAAAACCTTGGCGTGCTCAGGAGACGAAACGAGCATGCAGCTCACCTGATGGTAAGTGACTACCGCTATGAACAACCGCAACACCAGGGGAATTGCAGATGGGTTGCCGGCCTTTTAGAAGGGTGTAAGCTCTTTTTTTGAAGGCTCCTAAGTCGTATCGGTCCGGCAAAATCGCCGGTGGTAAACAATTCCACAGAGAAGTTGTACGACGAAGAAAACTCCTAGTAAAACACACAGTCGTGGACCGCCAAGCATCCAGATGGTGAGGATGTAAGAATATTCCGTTCTATAGTTCCATTGGTGTCGTAAGAAGCGGCAGTGGTAAAAAAACCAGGAGATTCACATCGTCTCTGACAACGTCTTCCTGATAAAAACTCAAAATGATAGAGAATTACGGTTGCCAACTCGCTTGCCAAGCCTGGCAACTATGGCAACATTTCCCCATTAGGCAACCCAATGAACTCCCTCTTGTTATGGTCCCCCTATGTTCAGCGGTGGACTTTTATATGTTATAATGAAATGAAATGATGAGTGCTTGAATGCGAATTGGAAGTTAACTGTTCCAACTGAACTGAACGACGTAGATCTGTGTATAAATTGTATGCATTTTATAACAATGTATTTAATTTCAAACGTGTTATACGTGCGGTGTATGCACACATGTGTATAAAAATTCTTATACAACTATACCGTAAGTGGAAAATGAAACTGAGCACTAGCTGACATGAAGAAACCCGAGACTTGCGGTCACATACTTTGTTGAGGACAAAGATACACGAGAGTGATTGTTATAGATAATACATATGGAATAGTTTCAAGGTATTTAAACGTAAGAATGATAAAGAAGCACACAGTCCACCTGATTGTAAATGGATACTGTGGATTCGATCATAGATTTAGGTTGACACATAAATCTATGAATCTATGACAGAATAAGAATGAAAATGTAGATGCAACCTAATGACCAACAGTGATGACTAAGAAGAAAGAATTTGCGACCCTTTTTACTGGTAATAAGACATCAAGACCAGTAAAAATAGTCGTTGGTTAACGATATATTCTGTGAGAACTTGATCCATTCAATTGCATTCGTGCTGCAACTATAATTCAGCTACATCTTGACGGCTCTAGCGCGAAATAAAAGGTTTGCAACTGTGAGCTTTTTATAGGTTTAAAGTTGATTATCCTAAGTTGTTTTATGTATAAAACATTATTCTGGTTTTAATAAAGTTTTAAGTTTCGTTACACTGATTTTTTTTACTGTCGTTTTAAGGGAAGAATATAAAGGTAACAATACTCATATACCTTTAATACTATTAAGTGTAAAAGAAAACAGAAAAATGATTGGATTCACTACATTATTTTTTGTTATAAGGGTCAGTTCACACCGAGACGCGATGATGCTTGAAGAGGCCAGTGGTTTCGCACCGCGTACCGTTGCTGGCAGCGCACCGCTTTTTATGCTGCGCCTACCGACGAAGCACCGCTGTATCGCGACGCGTTGCTCTATGCCGCGAGGCATATCCAGGCGCAGAGCGGTGTAGCGCGACGCCGCGGCGTAAGGTATTTTCAAATTATCTCAATAAAATGTGTACCTTTTTGTGTACAGTCAAGTCTGGCAACTTTACCAATTTAAGTTAACTTTGCCAATTTGCGTAATTTTGTACCAGGACACCCCTGTACTGGTACAAAATTACGATTAACACGGAAAACGTAACGTTTTTTGAGATATGCCATTTTTTGGATGAAAATACAATAACTAATTTTATTTTAACGCGGAATAGCGCCGGCGAAATAACCTATTTCTTCAGTGCTCCAGAACTTTTGTTGATTTTGTTTGAAATACTGAATGTAGGTTTTCATCTATATCTTTGTAGAAAGTAATATTAATGGTTATCAAATGTATTATATAGTTTTTAACATGTTGGTCTTAACATTTATCTATAAAACTAAGTTGGCAAAGTTACGAGCTATACTAGTAATACCACGATGTGACGGTTACTTTGTCATGTTTTGTTACAACCAAGGGTTGCCACTTTCAACCTATATTTTTAAACGATTACAACTATTTAAACAAAGTGTTCTGTACTTGACATTCTATGTATGTATGTTTGTATCGATGTTTCACCGTAGCAGAACATGAGATAGATTTTACCAAATGAGTCGTCAATCAATTCATCTTTAACAAAAGTGAAGGTAAGAAAAAGAGAAATCTATATTATTTTTACTGCGTTGTCGGGCATTAATAATATTATTACTGCTCAGTATTTTTCATAATTTCAATTTAGTGTATTGAAATTAATTTGCACCCTAAAACAGTGTAATTTTTAGGGTTCCGTACCACAAAAGGAAAAAACGGAACCCTTATAGCATCACTTTGTTGTCCGTCTGTTTGTCTGTCTGTCAAGACCCTTTTTCTCAGGAATTCGTGGAGGTATCAAGCTGAAATTCATATCAAATACTCAAGTCTACTGTCCCTTGGAGATGTGAAAAAATCAAACTTCTAAGCCAACGCAATCAAAAGTACAGCCGTTTATGCCGCAAATTTTCGACATTCGCAAGGGAATCAAAACCTACAGAGTACTTCCTGTGAATTCAGAAGCAACGTATTAGAGTACAGATAAAGAAAAAATTGCGAAGAGCATAAATTTATAGTTACATCATATAATAAAAATATTTTTAATAATTTTAAACTTATATACCTACGGATTTGTTCGGAACCCTCGGTGCCCGAGTGCGACTCGCAGTTGGCCGGTTTTTTAATGATTATGAATGTTTTGCTGTTGTGGGAAAGCAATATTTAGATTGATTACAATAATTATGACCTGACATCATGATGACGACTAATAAAATAACGAAGACGTGTTAAATATGATTGTGACAAGCTTTTTTAGTTGATACTATGACTGATTTAAGCTTATGATTGCACCAATTTGATTTTTAATTTAAGACGAGAGTATTTTTGTTTGATATCTTTTAGATTTTTGCTAATTTAAGAAATGATTGTGACAAGATTTAAATAAAAAAATTAAGTTAAGTACGTACTAAAGGATTTTTGACAACCCTGATATATTTTTAAGTTTGTATGAAACATTGAAAAATGGGAGGGCAACTTTGTCACAAGAGTAAGCTTTGCTATTTGAAACACAAAATAAAAGGAGCAAATCATAACTCTGAGTGTTGTGTATTATGACGTAAACTTACTTTCCACCTTGAAATCAAATCCTATTATTTTCATTATAAACCCTAATAGCAAAGTTGCCAGAAAGTGAGGTTAATTTTGACATTTTCTATTTTTGAGTATTTTGTCTATTTAATGTTACTATTTGTTTAAATCACGAATAAATACCAAATCTATAAAGAATATAATGTCACATTTAACATTGACCTCCAGTGTGACAGTACATTTTTTGTTGGAAAATTGGTCCTAAACTTTTAAGTCCTTCCAAAAATGGCAAAGCTGCCAGGTTTCACGGTAGTAAAGAAAGTTATATTTTGTATAACTATCTTAAAAATCTATCATATCTAAGGGTATGTACACACCGAGACGCGTCGCGTCGCGTCTCGGTGTGTACATACCCTTAGGCGTTCGAGAATGGATATTGTCGAGACAATAATTATGAGTTGTATTCTGCTAACTGCGAGGCAGTTGAGTCCGTGCAAATAATTGGGTTCATTATATGTGTTTATAATCGTAGATAGCTGGGTATTTTTGTTTGTATATGTATATCTGCATCTGTCTGTTGTTGTCTGTTGCTTCCACTTTGCGCATATTAATCCATATTTATGAAGCTGTATATCAGATACTATTCTTATAGAATTTTTGTATCTGGATATACAACTTTATATCAACAAACAAATTTATCGCAATACAAACGCTTAAATTTCTAACAGAAATTGATTCACAGAATAGTACATAGTAGTAGTAGATAATTTTAAAAACACTTAATGGTAACTTACCTTTCCTCTGTTTTAGATATGACTTTTGGCGCCGAAATCTCTGCGATCGCATCTGCACTGGTGTCGGGGAAAACACTTCGTTTCACTCGAATATCCTCCTCATCGGTTTTTTTAGTAGGCAGTGGCATAGTCGGTATATCTACATTAATATAAAGGTCATTAATACTTCGGTCATAAAATATTTGCCTATATATTAAATAACAGTCTAGTCTTAAGATATTTATTCGCAAACAAATGTACCATATCACAATAGGAGATATAAATTATTCTTTGTGGTATACCCCTAAGAGAATTGACTTCAACTCTGCTCGTGAGTTTCGTAACGTAATAGTGGACTTAGTGTTATCATAGGAAATCCTCGATGTTTGAGACTTATTCAGGAAAAGCAACTTGTATACTGCAAACGGAAAGGTGGTGATTACGAGAGCGACACTGAAAGTTTTTAGAACTGGCCACTTGTAAACGATATAATAGAGAAATAAGTTCATATTTTGAAAATGGAACCTTCATTCCGAGGAGTTGCCATCCAAAGTGAAAAGAGGAAAGGGAAGCGTGGGAAAAAAGATGGTGGCCTCGTTCTTCGGAATGACAGGTCAATTGTTTTAGAGGATCGAAAAACAGTTACTGCAGAGTGGTACAATAACAATTGTTTGCCACTTGTCTTGGAAAAAGTTCGGGAGAAACAACCTCGCACTAGGATCCTCCTTCACGACGACAACGCCTCATCGCACACCGCCAAGCAAGCAATTGACTACTTGGCGACGTCAGACGTGGAATTACTGAGTCACTCGCCCTATAGCCTCCATCTGGCACCTTGCGATTTCATTCATTTCCGAAAACATTAGAGGAAATCGTTTTATGGACGCCGAGGAAGCAGTGGCTGCGTTTCAAAATGCCGTCGAAGAGACCACGACGTACGAGTGGGCAAAGTGCTTTTCTCAGTGGTTCCATCGGATGCAGCCATATATTGATGTAAATGGACACTATTTTGAAAAGATATAATAAAACTATAACTTGCTAGTTTGTTCAGTTTTTGATTTTCTAAAAACTTTCAGTGTGACCCTCGTACCTATAATACCATGGGATTATACTAACTATGGGATAAGCCCATGTTCAACAGTGGAAAAGCTGATGGAGTATTTTTTTAATCTACAGAAACTTCCCACACTAGAACAACTTACTAAATAAACATTATAAAAGACAATCATAACATATTCATCCAATACCCAAATACATTAAAAGGAATTCCATAAATGACATTCATAATTTCTTATAACTCACGTATATCTGGTATTTCAGGGTTCTCGTTGAGCAGACGCTTGATCTCCGTTATATTTGGGATCGGGATCTGCTCTTCTTTGTCGACAACCATCACGGTGTCGGTGAAGTCCTCGGGTTTTAAGTGCACCATATTCGTTGTGCCAATCTGTATTGAACACAAATTCTTTCTTTCACCAAATTGCTTATTGAAGGTTGGAGTGACGATCTGGAGAAGATATGCAGGAAGTCTATAGATGCAGGTGGCTCTGGACCCTTTTTGTGGCATTATTTGAGTGAGGTCATTAATGGATTTGTGAATGGTTGTAATGATGATGATGATGATGACATTCGCCAAATTGTTATAGCTATAGCGTGGCTCTACCACGTATAAGATGAGTATCTTTTCTAGGATGGACATGAACATTCGGCGAAACTCGCCAGATGGACAAGGGAGTCAGAAACGATATCCTCGCACTGATAACGCTGTATCTTACTATCCGTGTGTAAGATTAGCGTTTCGAGAAGTTTTTTCGAGTTCGAGGTAAGATTTTTCACCATACGGGTTACGTAATATAAGAAGGGAATATCTTGAAGATTGGATACATAGTTTTAACTATCGAATGAATTTTTTGACAGTTGTTTATTACCTGGTGTATCAATTTTTTAAAAATAAAATTAAATAAGATAATGTTCATTTGTCATCTTTATTAGAGCCCTTCACAAGTCTATTTCTGAACATAGGCCTCCCCCAAGTATTGCCACCTAAATCACCTGCATCCATCGACTGATTCGTGCATGATTGACTTACCAGGTCACTCCTTCTAGTGTAGTGCAGTGCGTCCTTTCTTAATAAACAAAACATACAAATTCCAATTTTCAATATAGTAATAAATTGAAAAAAGAAATTATATCTACTTATTTTCATGCCTTAATTATTAAACTAAAAACAAAACCACGAGTAATAATTTTTGCTTATCCAATGAAAAGGACAGCTCAATAAACTGGAAATGAACGAAGCAGAAGAAACAAAAAGGCATGGCTTTAGACTTAATTTTATTTTCAATCAAAAGATTGAAGTAGGTAGTGTGTTATTTTTAAAAGAGTAGCCAAATTTTAAACTTAAGTTCAAATATATAAATAAATGATATACAGTTATTTCAGTTTTTGAAAATACGAGTAAATAAGGATTCTACTTTTATTTGAAAATATCCTAAATTGAATGTAGTATATGGGCAACACCGTTGCCGTTTAGTGGCGGTTAAGAATATCCACTACCCCATATCTTCCCATGGGTGTCGTAAAAGGCGACAAAGGGAAACAGGCAGGAGATGGGCAGCAGCATCTTCCTGATAACAGCAAAATACAATAAAAAAACTGCGGTTGCCAACTCCCTCGCCAAGCGTGACAACTATGGCAAATGGATAAAGTTACTAAGAGACGGCCCCCAGTCCCCGGCGGCCCCGCTATTCCTGGCTACGGTGGCGACCATGGTAACGGCGGGGCAGGGGGTGCTAAGAATCTCCGGTGGAGGTTCGGTTGCCACCTACGACGACTCGACCTGGCAACATACAACGCACGCACCCTGAGGACTGACGAGAAGATTGTGGAGCTGGAAGAAGAGATAGACAAGTTACGTTGGCATATTATAGGATTATCCGAAGTCCGAAGAGAGGGGAAAGAAACGGTAATCCTCGAATCCGGCAATTTGCTCTATTACCGGGAGGGCGACCATCTGTCCCAAGGAGGTGTCGGATTTATCGTCCACAAGTCTCTCGCTAACAACATTGTAAAGATTGGGAGAGTGTCGACGAGGGTTGCGTACCTTATACTCAGATACACCAAACGGTATTCGTTGATGGTCATACAGGTTTACGCACCAACCTCGGCACACCCCGATGAGGAGGTGGAGGAAATGTATGAGGATATCTCTAGAGCCATGCATTCCTCCAAAACCCAATATACGGTGTTAATGGGAGACTTCAATGCAAAACTAGGCACAAGAGAGAATGGTGAGCTGAAAGTAGGGAATTTCGGAATAGGGCAACGAAACCCAAGGGGCCAGCAGCTGGCCGACTTCATGGAGAAAGAGGGACTCTTTACGATGAACTCTTTCTTCCAGAAGCGGCCCCACAGGAAGTGGACCTGGTCGAGCCCCGACGGTTCGACAAAAAATGAGATTGACTTCATTATGAAGACCAGACGACAACTGTTCAGTGATGTCTCAGTGATCGCGAGGGTAAAAACCGGCAGCGATCACCGAATGGTTAAAGGCACACTGAACCTAAACGTTAAGTTGGAGGGGTCTCGTCTAATGAAGTCAACGCTCCGTCCCCCTCGTCCTCTAATCCAAAGTTCCGAAACCTTTCAGCTCGAGTTACAAAACCGTTTTCAGTGCCTAGAAGACTGCAATGAAGTGGACGATGTGAATGACAAGCTTGTGGAAACTGTCCTTGCGGTCGGAGCTAAGTTCTGCAAGACCCGCCGCAGAAGAACACAAAAACTCTCCGATTACACTCTTAATCTCATACATTCTTACATTCTTCAATAGATTTGACAGCATACAGGCAACTGAACAAAGAGATCTCCAAATGCATGCGGCGGGACTTACGCAAATTCAATACAGCTCGTATTGAAGAAGCGATCGAGCGGAACCAAGGCTCGAAAGTCTTTGCCAGAGATCTGACGTCCAGAAAGAGCCAACTGTCAAAGCTGAAGACAGAATGTGGCAGCATCGTTCCCGGGCACCTGAGATTTTGAGTGAGATTGAGAGGTTCTTTGGGCAGCTGTACACGTCATCGTTGGAGCCACACACGAGTGTGAGTAACGATCCAGTAACGAGTCTTATCCGACATTATTCTACAGCACTTTAAAAACGGCAAGGCCCCAGGCGAGGATGGAATTACTGCAGAGCTTCTGAAAGCGGGTGGAAAACCGGTACTTGAAGTCCTTCAGAAGCTTTTTAATTCCGTCCTCCATGGTGGCATTACACTGGAGGTGTGGAGCAGAAGTGCGGTGGTCTTGTTCTTCAAGAAAGGTGACAACGCTCTCTTGAAGAACTACAGACTGATTTCCCTTCTGAGCCGCGTCTACGTGCTGTTTTCGAGAGTCATTACGAATCGTCTCGCGCGCAGACTTGACGACTTCCAGCCTCCCCAAACAAGCCGGTTTCCGAAAAGGCTTTAGCACCATAGACCACATACATACCCTTCGGCAAATTGTACAAAAGTCAGAGGAGTACAATTTGCCACTATGTCTGGCGTATGTGAACTATGAGAAAGCCTTTGATTCCGTCGAAATTTGGGCAGTGCTGCAGTCACTTCAGCGGTGCCAAGTGGATTGTCGGTATATCGAAGTGCTGAAGTGCTTGTACAGTAGGGCTACGATGGCTATCCGAGTACAGAACCATAGTACGAAACGTATCCAATTACAGTGAGGTGTAAGACAGGGTGACGTCATATCCCCGAAACTCTTAACCGCTGCATTGGAAGACGTTTTCAAGCTTCTGGACTGGAAAGGATACGGTGTTAACATCAACGGCGAGTACATCACTCACCTTCGATTTGCCGACGATATAGTCCTTATGGCAGAATCGTTGGAGGACCTCAGCACTATGCTCAATGACCTCAATAGTGCTTCCCAACGGATAGGTCTTAAGATGAATATGAACAAAACAAAGATCATGTTTAATGTCCATGTCACACCTATGCCGGTAGTTGTTGGGAGCACTAAGCTCGAAGTTGTTGACGAGTATGTTTACCTGGGACAAATAGTCCGACTAGGTAATTCCATCTTCGACCGAGAAGTCAATCGACGGATTCAATTCGCCTGGGCAGCGTTCGGGAAACTACGACACATCTTCTCGTCAGACATACCTCAAAACCTTAAAACGAAATTGTACAATCAGTGCGTGTTGCCAGTGATGACATACGGAACTTAGACATGGTCCTTCACTGCTGGCCGGATGAGGAAGCTCAAGGTCGCTCAGCGAGCTATGGAGAGGGCTATGCTCGGAGTTTCTCTGCGTGATAAACTCAGAAATGAGGATATCCGCAGTAGAACCAGAGTGACCGACATAGCCCAACGGATTAGTAAGCTGAAGTGGCAATGGGCCGGCCATATAGCTCGAAGAACCGACAACCGATGGGGAAGAAAGGTTCTCGAGTGGCAGCCTCGTACCGGCAGGCGAAGTGTTGGGCGTCCCCCCACTAGATGGAGTGACGACCTGGTAAGATATGCAGGAAGTCGATGGATGCAGGTGGCTCAGGACCGTGCTTTGTGGCATTCCTTGGGGGAGGCCTATGTTCAGCAGTGGACTTGTGAAGGGCTGTAATGATGATGAATGATGATATGGGCAACAACATGTTTGCCTACCGATCGACACTTACGATTGTGTGCGTGCGCAGTAAAATCAGATAAAATAATGCATTACCACGCATTTTGAATTTAAAAGATAAAAAGGACAGAATGTTTGACATTTTTTTTAAATTAATATTTCTTGACCATTTACCTACATATAGTTATTGCAATATGAACTTTATAGAAGAGGTACGTTTTATTAATATTAGGATGAGTAGTATATTACATAAAATCTAAATCATTATACTGCTAGAGTTAGTTCTAATACATAGCTTTTAATCCCGGTCTTGATCTCCAATACCTATTAACCGCAATTCATGACATGTAGGGTAGTTTTACAACAGCACCATATAACCAAATGTAAAAAGGTTTGGTTAGCATTTCAATGCAACAATGCATTCAGAAACAGAACAGAAACGGAAACTTTTTTATTCAATATAGATTATATCGATTGGAAAAAAAACCTCTGACCTGGGAAGAACCAGCAAGAAACCCAGCGGGACTTTTTTTTTAAATAACAACTTACAATCATGTACGAGTATGTTACACAATTAACCACACAAAACAAATTAGAAATAGCTTGGTAGCGATCACCTCATTTCCAGGGGCTATTATCATCCATAAATTCCTTGATATTATAATAACCCTTTTTATACAAACTTTGTTTAATAAAGTTTTTGAACTTTGAGCAGGACAAATTTTGTATATTTTCTGGGATTTTGTTGTAAAAGCGTAAAACATCGCCCCAAGAATGAATTACTGACTCGGTGGAGACGAGTAACTGGTTCTATTAGCTTGTGTCTGCTCCTAGTATTTACAGAATGAATATCACTTATTTTCGTATAACTACCTTTATTTTTGTGTACGTACATTACATTTTCATAAATGTATTGAGAGGCCAAAGCTAATATATTAATTTCCTTAAATTTTTGTCGGGGCGACTCTTTAGGTTTTAAATCATAGGTTGCTTTTCTGTAAAACAAATATAATTTCAGTGCCAGTCGCGTGTCCCCATAACAAAATACCGTACGACATTATGCTTATAATAGGTAAAGTAAACAAGTCTAGCTGTTTCCACACTGGTAACAGCTAGGGATTAACAAACGCAAACAGATGTCGACAACTATATTAAAATATTTGGAGCTGTTTTATAACTCTTTTCGAAGCACGTGATATCGTTTTGCGTCTAACACTTGACTTTATTGCTTCAGCGTACATAACATCCAAACCGCATTTGCGTCATTCTACAATTGAGCCTATGAATCGTTACCGGATAGCCGCAAGCAGAAACCAGGTGTCCCTACATTCTATTTTCGGTATCGATTACTTATATCATTTATTTACTCTGGCAATAGGTAGCTACATTTTAATATCAATGTCTGTGGTATGTTTAAAATATTGTTTAAGCTCATCTTTAGCAATTCAAGTGAGCGTAACGGCTGTTGCCCCATTTATTCATTTGTATCGCCGCGCTTATAATTTTCAATATACAGTAGGCGAAAGACAAGCCCATGTCTCGGGCTTTACTCTCGAGTCATTACTGTGTTCGAATAAATTTGGCACAACAATGTATTTTCTATTCATCACTTAGAGCTTAGACGGACAATGTTACTCTATGACAGAAAAATCAACAATTGTGAAAAAAACATAAATTGTAAGCTTTTGGGTCTGGGTTTATTATTCGTGTAGAATCTACTAGTTAGTCTGTGGGTTTATTGTACTTGTGTGCCCGTGTTTCTGTCGTTGCATTTTAATAGATTTTATTGCATAATTATTACACTGGTTACGGAAAGAATAAGACAATAGATATCTTAGTGGTTGTGTGCTCTTGCATTTGTTGCACTATTTTGGTATCTTTCATAGTTTATAGCTGCATGATGGAGGCAATCAATAACAATAGCTTTGATCACTGCTAATCAATAAAATATTTTGACTTTGCTATTCACTTACCTACTTGTTAAATTCACTTAAAAGGAACCTTGTTAAATATTTCTGGGTTGTTCGAATAACCACTTACCAAATTAACAACACAACTTTTATTTCGCCGTTTTAAGGCGTCTTTAAAGATAAATATTAAAATTTTCTCCTTATATCACAATATGAAGGAAAGAAGATTTTTCAGGGATAATAATCGGTAATACTATTACTTCAATTACATAATAAGCAACAATTTTACCTTGGAACCTTGTTTGTAGTAGTCGGGATACCAGTCCCCACTTTCAGCGTCATCGTCTCCATCATACATATCCTCATCGTCAGCCATCTGGGCGTCATCTTCTAAAACAGTCAGTCCGTGTAACTTATTTAAGGAGTAGTTTGGCTTATCCTTGTCGGAATCTTTAACATCTTCAACTACGTTTCTGTCCGAAGCTACCGTTATGTCTTCAACTAGATTTCCATCTTGATCCTCGTCGGCGTATATCTGAAAATAAAAGTTAAGTACTTTAGATTGCTGTGGCATAATGCTGCTGTATTATGTATAGTTAGAAAAGAAAACCGGAGACCCTTGTTACTTAAACAACAACGTATCTGCTTTCTGATCCTGAATCAAAAACCACAGCATCCACTTACGATCAGGTGGACTGTGTGGTGGTTTGTCACCCTTACTTTATTAAAAAAATGTTTCATTTCAACACTCGTTTAATCGCTACATTTTTATCTTTATCTAAGTCATGTTATCGAATAAAAGGTGTATTAATACCAGTTCCAAGATAATATTTTAGTGCTTTTACATTACTGTAAAAATAAGTGGAGCGAGAGCTAATGACACGGAAACAAGAGCGAGTATAGTTTGCATTTGACCGATTTTCATTTCGATTTCTTTGTATGTTACGCCGACATCTTCGTCAATTGTGAATTGATTTTAATGGATATTTTTTATTAAACAGATTACACTTCAGGTATCGCTCAATATACATTTTTAAAAAAAAAATCCACCTCTAAGAGTGAAAAATAGGAGACGAAGTTTTTAATGTAACTATTTTTTTTAATATGACATTCTATTACCCTCAGCTTGTGAAAATAAAAGCCGATCGGCTCCTATACACTATGTCTTAGCACGGACTTCAGAAGTCATTCATTGGAAACGAATTTATTCTTTTGATAATTACTTTGAAATCGACTTTTACTTTTTATTTAAAGTTTAATTTTAAATAAGACATGAAAACATGGTGCTGTCTGTTGATGGGTTAATGGTAAATATAAATAAGAGAATTCATTACCCAATGACTCGAGTATTATAACAAGTGATTAATAAAATATGATCTATACAAATAAATAAAATTGATGTGTCTGTTTGTAATCTCAAAATAACAGCTTTTAAATAAATGCATACGCAAGATTTTTGTCTCTGTCTGTCCGTTTGTTCCGGTTAATCTCTGGAAATGGCTGGACCGATTTTGACGGGACTTTCACTGGCAGATAGCTGATGTAATTAGGAGTAACATAGGCTACTTTTATTTTAGAAAAACAATTTGGGTTTCACGCAAAAAAAATCAAAACCCATGAAATCCAACCGCAATACAGAGCCGTGGGCTACCACTATCAGGGGAGCTGTCAAGAGCTTAGCGCTCGATGTGAATTTCACAGTACGCGAGCAACACAGGTTCGATAATCGCCGGCGCCAATGAAATTGTTAATTGAAGTTTTAAGTGATGATATAAAACTAAAACTGTCTAAGACTGAATAAAGACAATATTATTTATTCTCTCAAAATATTATAATAGGTATTGTTTCGGAAAGGAAACTAAGATCTCAAAAATATATTAAGTAATCAAGTCTTCCATTTTTACATTCTTGCTAATCCTGTTGCTAGACAACGCAAAAGTCGCTCGATTCTTAAAAATCAAATTATATTTTTAACACAAGCGACTATAAGAGAGACAGATATAGAAACAGAAACAGAAACAGAAACTTTTTTATTCAATATAGATTATAAATAATACTTATTGAAAGTCATTCTTTTGTTTGATTACCACTGGTTCGGAAAAAACCTCTGTCCTGGGAAGAACCAGCAAGAAACCCAGCGGGACTTTTTTTTTTAAATAACAGCTTACAATCATGATGTTACACAAATTAACAACACAACAAATTAGAAATAGCTTGGTAGCGATCACCTCATTTCCAGGGGTTATTATCATCCATAAATTCCTTAATATTATAATAACCCTTTTTATACAAACTTAGTTTAATAAAGTTTTTGAACTTTGAACAGGCCAAACTTTGTATATTTTCTGGAATTTTGTTGTAAAAGCGTATACATCGCCCCAAGAATGAATTACTGACTCGATGGAGTCGAGTAACTGGTACTACTAGCTTGTGTCTGTTCCTAGTATTTACAGAATGAATATCACTTATTTTTATAAAACTACTTTTATTTTTGTGTACGTACATTAAATTTTCATAAATGTATTGAGAGGCCAAAGTTAATATATTAATTTCCTTAAATTTTTGTCGCAGCGACTCTTTAGGCTTTAAATCATAAATTGCTCTTATGGCCCTCTTCTGCAAAACAAATATAATTTCAGTGTCAGCTGCGTGTCCCCATAGCAAAATACCATACGACATTATGCTATGGAAGTAGCTGAAGTAAACTAGTCTAGCTGTTTCAACACTGGTTAGACTTCTAATCTTTTTTACAGCATATGCTGCAGAACTAAGTCTGCTTGCTAGTTTTGATATATGGGGGCTCCATTGAAGCTTCGCGTCTAGTGTGATTCCAAGAAAAATGGTGGTATCTACAAGACTCAGTTTCTCCCCATTTAAAATTACATTAGTATTTAATTGTTTGACATTTGGAGTCACGAATTTCATACATTTTGTTTTAGTGCCATTTAAATGCAAATTATTAACATCGAACCAATTTACTAACTTAGATATAGCATTATTTACTTCGTCATATTTTAGTAACTGTCGACTTAATTTGAAAATTAAAGAAGTGTCATCTGCAAATAATACTATATCATGGTTATCCCCTACTATGTAAGGTAAGTCATTAATGTATACAAGAAACAGAAAGGGGCCGAGAATTGAGCCTTGAGGCACGCCCATTTGTACCATCGATCCGGAAGAGCTCATATTGTTAATGACAACTTTTTGCGTTCTCTTACTTAAATATGAAATAATTAATTTAAGGGCATCACTTCTTACACCGTAGTGTTGAAGTTTCCTGATTAATGTTTCATGGTGAACACAATCGAAGGCCTTGGATAGGTCACAAAATATACCCAAAGCATCCTGTGAATTCTCCCATGCATTAAAGATATATTTAATCAGCTCAACACCGGCATCAGTTGTCGAGCGACCCCTTGTGAAACCAAATTGATTTTTATGAAGTAAATTATTTATATTAAAAAAATTTAACATTTGATCAAGAACAATTTTTTCAAAAATCTTACTAAGTGTTGGTAGTACAGAAATAGGTCTAAAATTGGCGGGGTCTAATGTACTACCAGATTTAAATAAAGGTATTACTTTACTATGCTTCATTAAATCAGGAAACACACCAGATTCGATACTAGTATTAAAAATAATAGCTAAATGAGGCGCGATTGTATCTATTATAGACGCAATAACTTTAACGGAAATCCCCCACAGATCCGCAGTTTTCTTAACATCAATAGTTTTAAAATATTTTACAATATCTTTTGATGTCACTTTATGAAATGTAAAATTCTTTGTACACACATTTACATTATGTTTAAGTAATGATTCGGCGACGGCAGGAGAAGAATTTAGTGACTTAGTGGTCAAGATCGGAATATCAGTAAAATATTTCTCAAAAACCATTGCTACGTCCTGATCTGATACAGTTAGTTTGTTGTTAACACTTAACTGGTAATTTGAATTGCGAGAGTTGATCTTACCAGTTTCGCTATTAATTATACTCCATGTCATTTTAATTTTATTGGAAGCCGTCTTAATTTTGTTGCTCAAATGCAAAGACTTGGCTATGGAGCACACTCTTTTAAATATTTTTGAATATTTTTTTACATATTCCCTAAATTCGACGCTATGATTATATGACCTTTCATGGTAAAGATCATATAACCTATGCCTGCTCTTATGGACTTCTACTGTCGCCCATTCATTGAATGACTTCCGACTGTTCAAGGAGAATGTTTTAGAAGTAAAAGTATTATTAAATTCATTGCAAATAAGCTTAAATAATGTTCCATACAAAATATTAGGATCATTTTGGTCATATATTTTGCCGGAACCGGGTACCCGGTACTTGCGGTTCTTTTCTTTCTTTTAGGTTGGAGGCTATTTCGTTCAATATGAATAACGATAATAATATTCATAAAGAAAACAGTTTATTGCAAATCGTGGGTTAAAGTAATTATTTAAGTAATAATTGCAATAGTTTCTTTCTAATTAAATATAATCAAACATCTCACTAAGTAGGAACATTCATTTTACAATTGCACGATGCACGTTAACAGTTATTTCACATTACTTACATAAAAATAGTTTGAAAGATTCCATTCTATTATAACATTACAATATTCTATCATAGAATATACTTTACTGACTGTTATTATAACAAAACATAAATCAGCTCACTTATGAAAAAAATAGTTTTAATTAAACATTACTTCTTAATTTTACATAAATAAAAAAAAAACCTAGAAAAATTAATGCCTGCAAATTTTTATCACTCAAAGACGAGCGCAGCCTATTGCAGACGAAGACAATATTCGCTCTGGCTCTACACTGGTGGGCGAAATAGTTTTTAAATGTTCATAACCTATCGATAAGTAGTACTCGTTGTCTTTGCCCATCATTTTCAAATAGAGCCATTTCAACTCAATTATAATTTCAATCAATTTAAGTCATTTTCTTGATCTGTCGATTCAGTGGCAGTATTAACAGCCTTAGAGAGCTCTCTATTAAATTCCTCTTCATTTGTTAGGGGGATTCATGTAATTCAACTTCCTGCAGATTTTGACTTCCAATTGCTGTTTATTCAAGTGATACTTTTTGTCTAGCTTTCGTGCGATTTTGTTTATAAAACGAGGATGACAAGCGAGCACACAGTGCACGGTAAGGGGTTGCTGTAGCCCATAGACATCTACATCTATCCTCGTTGACGAATCAAAATGCTGATGCGTTGTCACACGTGAGGACTAAGATTGAATGCCTCGTTTCCTGTAACAAGGGGATCCGGTTTTCTACACTCACCATACGCAGCAGCGTATTCTGTGAGAGCGTGGTCCTACCCCTTTCGAGCCAACCCATTCGTGCTATACTATACCAGTAATATAGCAGCAGCATGGCTATACCACGTAAAAATTTTCAATTCCGTGTAACATTTCATCATTTGTAGACCGGAAAAGATAGTTGCATCGTCCATACTGGCAAAATGACTGTCAGGGTTGGTTAAGTATCGCAATATTGATGCTTGCATGTTTTTTATATTGT